AAAAAAAAAAAAAAAAAAAAAAAAAAAAGCAAAACCGGGAGATCTTCAAATTGTGTCGAAATTCCTTCCCTTCTCAGTTAACACATCTGGTTTGAGTCTATGCATAGTAGATACATCTTAGGTACTTCATAATATCTCCATCTCTGACGAGACTTGAAGTTTAAATACAAAACTAAGAAAAACCCCAAAACCCTATCCCAACATTTTTACATCCAGGGGATGAATATTTTTCTTATCGAGGTAACATCCTTTCACACAGCTCTGGAGGGTTGTTAGCTGACACTAATACAGGCAGAAAAGCCACTTGGCTGGAGGTAGCACAGGGTGAAGTTGCAGACCACAGGCAGCAAGTTATCTGCCCTGCTCTAAATGATTAAGAGTTAAAAAAACCTCTGTGCTGAGCGGCTGCCTGCATGGAATTCATTCCTTCCCTGTGCCTAGTACACGAGGCTCAGTCGGTGACTGGGCTCCACATGTTCCCTGGGTTGCATTAGGTATTAGTCAGGTTAGCAGTGGTGCCAAGACAGTTTATATGGTAGTGTGTCAGAGAAACCACTTTCCAAATAGTTTATTTCATCATGTGAATCGATCCAATCTGTGACTGTGTTTGGATGATAAATACTTTTAAAAAAAAAAGAAAAGAAAAGAAAATTAGTATAATCAAATAACAATAGAAAAGCAATAACAAAGATAAACCTTTTTTCACCAAAAAACCCCAAAGGGATGCGTATGTTTTTAATATACATGAGGACAACATGCAAAGAATCTGAGTTTGTACTCCTGCCTCTGCCACTTGCTCTTTGTCAACTCAAGCCACTTTGGGCTGTAGGTTTTTAGTCTTGTAAAATGTGACTGGTGGTATTTCTTGCAATTATTTTTCTGGAAGTCCTTGCTAGGGAATTGTTACACGGACGGGGTGGTGCTTACACTAACTTTGTATTCCATCTCTTCAAACAGCTTTGATCTCGTTACCATTGGTGGAATCTCCATTATCCTGCACTTTGAGCGGGCTCCCTTCATCACCCAAGAGCACACGCTGTGGTTGCCGTGGGATCGTTTCTTCGTGATGGAAACCATAGTCATGAGGCACGAAGAGAACGAGATCCCAAGCTGTGACCTCAGTAACTTTGCCCGGCCCAACCCTGTGGTTTCCCCATCCCCACTGACAGCTTTTGCAAGTTCCTGCTCGGAGAAAGGTCCTATTGTTCCTGAAATCCAGGTATGAACCATCTGAGCTGAGAAGAAAATAATTCATCTCCTTTCTGTGCTGCTTTTACCTGCTTTGAGCAACATGAACACAACTATTCCCCTGCTCCCCTAAAAACAAGCGTTCCCTGGTTTTTCAGATGTTTGCCAGGATCTCTTGCTCGCTAGCACACACTTTGCCAGAAGTTTTCTTTTCCCTTATCCCTGAGGGATGGAGGCAAAGCACTTGTGGCCAACAGCAAAAACCTACATTGGCTTTACTTTGCTTTCACCTCTTACCTTCAGGTGGGCTGGAAGCCTCGTGTGACCCACAACAAGCCTTCGGGCACCCTTGGGTAGCCCTTTGGCATTCAATATGCTCAGCACGAGGCTGACAGACAACTTATGCTCCAAGGCCTTTCTTCTGTTCAGGAGCAAATTTCCCCCACTGGGCATTACGGACCTCAGTGGAGGAGTGTTGAGCATGAACTTTCTCAGGGTTTGAAGGCGTAGCCCTCACTCTGCAAAGCTGCTGAGATGTCAGTCCGACAGCAGGCAAATGGCCAGCCTGCAGAGCACCTGGGTTTTACTGCATTTCATGGCGTTTGGGATAGGTGAGCAAGGCGAGAGGGTTCCTTTTAATTCCTCACCCCTGTTTTCCTTTTCTAAGGAAGTATGAGTCAGATAAAGTAGTTCAACAATCTGCTGTGGATTCAAAGTATTTTGCTGAATGGAAAGATGGGTATTAAAATTGTAATAATTGTCTAAATTAACTGAATTATCTATCTTCCCTAAAAATACTTACTGTGTTGAAATATATGGCTGTAGCAACATTCAGGCTTTCCTTTCCTGGGCATGTTGTTCCCTGGGTTTTAAATGCCAGCATTTGGCATGTCTTGGGTATTGCTTTTAGTGAACAGTAATAGTCTGCCAAGGTAGAAATAATAACAAGTGTGGCAACAAATCGTGTGGTTCCTGCTTGACTCCACCGGGGTCACGGTAGTGTTGAAGAGGAAAGAAGTCACTTATACCTTCTAATTTTAATACACCAGGTACTAAACCCAGAAACACATAAATCTTGTGGTCTCTCTACATTTCCCTCTGGACCAAATACTGTGATCCTTTCTCACACTTAATTTCCAATTGTGGTCACTAGGTTTGTCCCAGCATAATTCTAATTAAGTCCCATATCTTGTAAAGTCTGTCAGATTGAAAATTCTTGGTTCAGTTTTCACATCTCTTTTTTCTTCTTAAACCAAAAAACGCCATGAAGTGTAATGTTCGGCACTGGCTGGAAAAGAAGCAAACACCTGCTACAGTGCAACTATAATCATAACCTCACTCATTATTTGATAGGATACTCATTAGATTGTGTTACCGATTGAACTAAAACATTCTAAAACTCCTCCTCAATAAGAGTGGGTGCCTGTCTATTGTCTGTGAAAGCAGGCAGGGATGTAGATCAGAAGCAATGGTTTGATGCAGTTTATTGGCTACAGATGACAGAATCATAGAATGGTTTGGGTTGGAAGGGACCATTAAAGGTCATCTAGTCCAACCCCCCCTCCCATGGGCAGAGATATTTCCAACCAGACTGGGTTGCTCAGAGCCCCGTCCAACCTGGCCTTGAATGTTTCCAGGGATGGGGCATCTCCCACCTCTCTGGGAAACTTGTGCCAGTGTCTCACCATCCTCACTGTAGATGTTTAGTGCCATTCGAAATGTCCTGCAGATATCCTGCTTGGCCTCCAACTGCCAATCCCAAATGATCCCCCTATCAGGGTCCTGCACTATATCTGCCAACCCCTTGTGAATGTCACAGATAACTTGGACATCCCAAATCTCACTAGACACCTGTAGTTACGGAATCCAGTTAAATCCTAAATGGGATTCATTTTGAGATTATGTCACCTAAAGAAGGTGCTCTCACACAGTTGTCTGGATGCGTGCTGGATGTCTGAGCTCCCATTAAAGCTGACAGAAATCTAATCGGTACCATCAGCGGAGCCTACAGATCAATTAAGCTGACCATCTTGAAGGTATCTGGTTCCCACTGACAGTATCGGTTAGATCACCACTGACTATAATTGATGCTTACATGCCTACCTCACATGCACACACTTACATGTCGACATCTGGATTTAGATACCTTAAACTGAAATTGAATCCCACTCTTAAGTTTACCGTGGCAAGAACAACCTTCTAAAGAGCCTGTCTGTGCCCACTGGCCATGAAGAGACCTAGAAAAGTAGTTCAGAGGAAACTCCTAGCTTTTAGGTTCCCAAGTTTAATGATGAGCAGTTCTTTTCCCATGTGCCAAATGATTGAACTAAACCCTGTAAAACTGTTCTCCTCCTCTAATATTGACTAATGAGGGTTAACAGAGTTTGTAATGCAGGAGTATACAAAAGAATCTGGTTTTACAGCAGTGTCCTGACTGCACCCAGTTCATAAATTAACTACTTTTTCACTCCTATAGTGGATATATATACAATAAAAAATACCCTAGCTGTCAGTTTCTGCAGCTGCATTTTATAATACGCAGTTCTCAGTAGAGAAATGTTAAATATAAAAGGTGTGAGCACATAGCTGGGAGGAGGTGACAAGTGGATAGCAGGGCTGGGAAAGAGATTTTGACAAGTGGGCAGATAGGAACCTCATGAGCTCCAACAAGTAAATGCAGAGTCCTCTACCTGGGTGCATTCCAAAGACCAAATAAAACGGTTTATGTGTTTGACTCAGGTGCCTAAAGACAGACATTTGGTGCCATTTAAGAGGCCCTGAAGTGTTCCTTCAGGCCTCCAGCTGTAGCTTCAGAAAGGCAGAGATCTCAAGGTCCATGTCAGATCTGTCATCCCCTTGCAGAGGTTTTGGATACCACATAACAACTCAAAAGCGGTAGATGCCTGTGTTGAGGCCCCTGAATCAGACCCTAAACGCTTTTCTTTCCCAAAATTCCTTCTGAGCATCGTATTAAAAAAGAAGATTGATTGTCTGCTGGCAGAGTGAGCAGTAGCTGTAAGAGAAATGTGTAACCCAGCACACAGAAACAAGATTTTCTACATCGTCTCATGCGAGGAGTAGAAGAATTGTTACTAACACAAGCAGAAATTAACACCCAGGAGCAAAGGGAACACAGCAGTGAAAATTGCTAAATTGTGAAAATCCCTAGTAAACCTGAAGAACCAGCTCTTCTCCCTGACCAGCCTGGTGGCTGGACTGCTTTTAAAGAGCAGGTTATATTGGTTAGGCTGTGGTAAGCATTAAGAGCCCTAGTCTTTCACAAGGACCCCCAGACACAGTATATGACTTTATCTGGGCCAAACAGCCATTATCAAATAGAAATAAGGGCACAAATCACCTGTTGTTACTTTTGGTGCATTCAGAGTTTCTTAAAACATATTTTTCCTCTCTTCTCTCACCAGCGTCCTACTGGCTTATACTCCTCCCACCAATGCCTTACTTTGCTGCTACTTTATCACTACTTACAAAATAAAGATGTGTTTTGGATAATCTGAATTGCCATTTGCACCGTGTCTTCAAGCAGGCGCCTTTAAACACAGCCCCCCGTGCTGCTCAGTGCCTTGATACCGCCGCGCTGACCCTTTCTCTGGAATGGTAGACAGCAGAGACAGATCATGACAGAGAGACATTATTTCTGACAGGGATTTGAACCAGACATTGCAAATAGTACCTCCTTGACAATTATTTCTGCCTGGCTTTTTCCTAGAGGGGTTACATATGAAGACAGATTTGATACAAGGGACCACCTTTACTGCAGCTTGGCTCAGCTGGTCTCTGGTTGAGCCTGCTCCCAGCCCAGCTTGTTGCTGAGCTCATAAAATATATTTTAAAATTCCTGGGTTTTCCCAGTTCTGTCATTTTTCAGCTTCCTAAGCACTGAGATATGTAAATTGAAAAGGCTGCATTAGAGAAAGTAAATATTTATGAGCACAGTGGAACGGTGCTTTAACTTCTGGATGTGTCCGTCTGTCAAGTGCTGCAACACTCAGAGGCTGTGAGTTATTACTTGAAAAAGTGTTGGGCCTTGGATAATAGCTTAGAAGAGGTCTTTTCAGGGGGCAGATTATAAGATTTGTCATTATAGATAACACTAACCAGAAAACCTGTAAGAGATGCGCAACTCGTCGCGCCAGGGGAGTTTGCTGCTCCCACACAGGAGGAGCTGACTCTAGGAGCCACGTAGCCTGGAGGACTCCAGGGTGGCTGTGATCCCTCCCTGACGGGTGGATCTCCTGACCCACCCGCCTCCCAGCCTCCATGCCCTTAATATTACCGAAGCTGATTATCGCTAGGGAAGTATTTTCACAGCTCGTTTAAGGTCCGGCACAGCAAAGTATTTCAGAAGTGGCACAGGAGAGAACAGCGCCTGCTGCGACCTTCTGACATGTCCCATTATCAGACACGAGTTTTCCAGCTCACTGCTGAGCTTCTACCCTTCATCTTTCAAACTTTGTCACAGGTTGCCAGCTTGTGCTGAACATGTCCATGGTGGGTGCTTACCTAAGAGTGAAATTTTCTGGAAAGCGACAACTCATTTTTTTCCTCCTAAGACTTAAGAAAGTATTTTGCATGGGAGAATCAGCATGGCATTGGGGATGTACGTTGTATCGGTTTCTGGAAAATTTCCCTGCGTTTCTCCAACTGAAAAAAAAAAAAAAAAAAAAAAAAAAAAAAAAAAAAAAGGCTAGGTGTATATCTGGCAAAGAGATTCAAAGATGAGGCAGGAGAGGAGCAGCTTCAAGGAAGGAGAGATGGGTACATCAGAGGAGGGAGGGTGGAAGCAGGATTCACTAATGACTTGTAGAGAATGGCAGGTTATGATGGGGGCTGCAGAACATCTGTAAGGGCACAGGCCAGTTAGGACTTGATATTTTACTGGGAAAAAGAAGCTAGGAGACAAAAATTAGCAGCCATAGAAACCTACCAAGAGAGAATACACAAAATGGAAGCTAAACTGATGGGCTGGAGTAATCTCAGACCCAAGGCTCCTTTCATCATGGGTCCTGGTGAGTCCCATTATAAATGTTGACTTAAATGTGATACTTTGTTCTCCTGTCCTCCCATGTAACGGAGATGAAGAAAGAGGGGGACATTCCTTGGCTTCCACAACCAACCCTATAAAGTACATATATGATTTCATACTTGGTACCTACTAGGTGTGCTTTTTTAGATATGTCTACCAGAGCTTTTATAAAGGTGTGTTTGATAAATTACAGCTTCACTGCCTTTTCCTGTCTGCTCACTGCTGATTTAACACCTCCTGGATTGCTTTTCCACAGGCTCTACAGGAGGAGATTAACGTTTCCGGTAGTAAAATAAAAGTGAGTTACCTGAGCAGTCGCACAGCTGGCTACAAATCAGTCCTGAGGATCAGCATGACCCACCCCACCATCCCCTTCAACCTCATGAAAGTCCACCTCATGGTGGCTGTCGAGGGACGCCTCTTCAGAAAGTGGTTTGCAGCTGCTCCAGACCTGTCCTATTATTTCATCTGGGATAAGACAGATGTCTACAGCCAGAAAGTGTATGGGCTTTCAGAAGCCTTCGGTAAGTGGCCCCAGGGCATGTGTCTCTTCTTAGAGGCAGCTCAGTGGCAATGCACAGACCTTGTCCCAGTTTGGTATGGCCCGACTGCTAACACATACAATGGTTCCTGCTGGTTCGCTGCTGGTTCCCTGGAGAGGATTGGGCCCAGCTGTTCAGACAGCACACATTTCCCCAGCAGATGAATACTTATCTGTTCCCTGGCTCAAGGCCCAGCACATACGTCCTGAGCTGCTACAATCATATTTGTACAGAAGGAATGAACTGGACTGGAGGCGTTTGGCTACCTCTCACCTATAGCCAAAAGCTGTCAGCATTGCTTTGAAAGGAATCCCTAGAACTGAGCCCTGATCTCCACTCCTCCTCTTCAGGACTGCTCTAATCTGAGCTTCCTATTCAAGAACACTATCCTGAACTGGGGCACGATGGTCTTCTCTCTTTTACCTTGTGCTTTCATTTACATCTGCAAAAGACTGTCAGAAGCTGCAAGGCAGAGAATATGAAGGCTCTGCATACTCAGCATGTCACATCCCCAGCACCAAGCATTGTGGCCTCTGCCACCCACTCCGCAGGGGCAGAAGCTGGAGCCCCAGGAAGCTGTGCTGGGGATGTAGGCAGAGACACACTTCATTCCTCCTCCTGCTGCCATCTCAGGCCTCACCCAGTGCGCCCTGCGCAATGGTGCTGGAGGGAAGGGGGCACTTTGGGTGTAGAGTGAGCAGAGGTGATGCAGCTCTGCTGTGATTGCTCCTCATCTGATCGACAACCAGAAGATAACGTTACAGGTCTTCGGTAGAGTCTAGACTAGACCTTTCAGGTTGCCAAGGAAATTATAACAGCCAAACGAGAGAGATAGCAAATAGAGAAGGATGGTTCACTGACACCTGGTAGCCCAACCTAAGTCTCTTTGGAGAAGCTGTAGGGTGCCTTGTTTGCTAGGAGGAAGAATGGGTGCCTTCCTCTCACTCAGGCTCAGCTGCCTCGAGCAGGCTGGATGATAAGGCTTGAGCCTTACACAGTTTGGAGTCCACACTTAGAAACATGTCCTGGTAGCATATCCTGAAAGACTATGTTGACATGCTCTTTAAGGTGTTAGATCAGCAGAGGATCCTGGAGTAGCTTTGCAGCCCCAGAGTACTCAAGCAGGTTTGAGGACATCAACATTCAAGCTTTCAGTGATTCCCACCCCTAGAACAGGGGAAAATATCAAGCCTTCATTTCCTAAATTACATCTTCCTCTGAGACTGTCTGATTCTGCTGTACTTGATGGGGGATCCTGAGTTCTCTCAGTGCCCAGCACTTTTCAAGGAGGCTGGGAGACTTGTAAGATCAGACCTTTATTTTTATCTAGTAAAAAAATAATGAGCTCTGTAATTACTTTTCATTTGTGTAGAACTTACAGTTCTGCTCTGCTTCAGCTGTTTAGCACTGAAAAAATCAGGTAGGGCAGAGGAAAAGCAGACCAGTGAAACTGGTCCTGCTTCTGAGAGAACTGTAAAGGAGTCATTATTCTGTCAAAACCATGATTTTCCTTCTACTGACCTCATTTTACTCTTAAGCAACTCCATTGCGTTCAGCAGAGTTACTCCTGAAAGGCTCTGATTAGACAATATGGCAAGTAAACCCTTCTGAATTTAATAATGACCACAAGTCTTGATTTAAGACTGCTGTCTCAGAGGGACTTGCTGCCCCACACCTCATTTGTGTGAGTCTTTCCAGGAAAGGCCATGATTTTTAGCAAGTTCCTGACAGGCGGTCTTTGATCAAAGATTGTAGATAGGAGTAAAATGCTCCCATTTAGAAGTCCGACAGTGGTTTACACTCTCAAATAATTACTGTTTTAATATATGTCTTTAAAACAGTGCCTTTTAAATATCTAGCACATTTGCCCAACATCTGCAACTGTGTTGATTTTTTTAAACGTAGGATGGCCCTTAAAGAGAAAAATATTAGGACTCTATTATGATGATGACTTTTTAAATGAAATTGGCAGTTGCCTGTAGAAATGCTCTTACCCCTGCTCAGCTGAAACTCTGTGTGCTGACTGTGCGTTTCTGGGTTACTAATCTGAGGGGTCTTTTGTTTCTCTCCTGTTCATAGTTTCAGTGGGTTATGAGTATGAATCCTGTCCTGACTTGATCCTGTGGGAGAAGAGGACAGCTGTGCTTCAGGGTTATGAAATTGATGCTTCCAAACTTGGAGGATGGTCACTGGACAAACACCATGCCCTCAACATACAAAGTGGTAGGTTGTCTGTAACACCTAACAGGAATAATTCCGTGTTGCAAGGCCTAGTTGCTTCTTATCGCTAAGAATTCCAGAAAAGGGGAGGAAGGAAACCTGACTAACACTTGTACTCTCTCACGTATTTTCCTAACAAATTATTTCTGCTAACCTAGATTTAGAAGCAATTTGGTATGTGTAAATGCTAAAGAAACTGGCCATCCTGAAGTAGTTGAATGTCATCATGTCTTAACTTTGTAGTGTCTTACAAGAAGGATATTAACAAGGAAAATATTCCTAAAATAACAAGGGGGAGCCTCTTCAGAATGGACCCATCACCGAGCATAAATCCACCCAGACACATCCTCCAATATTCTAGCGTATTTGCAGAAACAAGAGGCTTCATGGGTCATAAGGGAAAATTGAAGGTGCCAGAGTCCTTGAAGGCCACTCAGGACTGCAGCAGGGAGGCTTGAAAGCTGATCAGAACACGTTCCAGAGGTGGAAGCACTGTGTCCCTCTGGATGATAGCAGTGGTATGGGAGCAAACATCTAATTCAGCCCACATCACTGCTGAAAACAATGCTCTTATAGGGAGCACAAGCAGAGCTCTTCTAAAGCTTTGCAGATGAAACATTACTCTAGAGAATGCACCGTGGTCTTCCTGCCCCTTATCTTTCCATGAGCTATGTGATTTCTTTTTTTACCTGGTAGACTGCAAATTACAGGGCAAGGAGGAACAGAAAGGGCAGGTGAAAATTCATGAGACGCTGAAAAGTGTATTTCATTCAAAGGTAGAGGGTATTGTTCTCCCTACACAGTTCTCTCCTGCAGGAAATGTAATGAGTCTATAAAAAAATGCTTACTTTGGATAAGGGGCTCCTCATTTGAAACCATCACAAAACAATAGAATGAATGATGATAAACCTCCTTACTACTTGACAAATTCCCCGCCTGGCATCCAGCACTGCCAGTTTGTGTTCCCTTTGGTCTCAGTTTTCCTGTCTCTCTTTAATTTCCTTATTACTGTTTTCTCTCTCTAGGCATCTTGCATAAAGGAAATGGGGAAAACCAGTTTATTTCCCAGCAGCCGCCTGTAATTGGAAGCATTATGGGCAACGGCCGCAGACGTAGCATTTCTTGTCCAAGCTGCAATGGTCTTGCAGATGGGAACAAACTCCTGGCTCCTGTTGCCCTAACATGTGGGTCTGATGGAAGTCTTTATGTTGGAGATTTCAACTACATCCGAAGGATCTTTCCCTCTGGCAATGTCACCAACATACTGGAGCTGAGGTACACTCTGCTGAATGTGGCCATTATAATTATTCCCTTAAGTTCTGCAGAAAGGAAAATGAGCAAAACTCTTAAAAAAATCCCACGGCTAAACAGAAAAAAAGCTGTCCAGATTTGCCTCTTCGGCAACTCCGCTGACTTTGATTTACACCAGAGAAACACAGGCCTAACAAGTTCTTCCACAATTGAATCACACACCAAAAATATTGACACGTTTCTGTGCTGCTAAATCAAATTGTGTTGATGTCTGCCTTTTCATGTAGTTAGAGACCAGTGGGAATTCTTAAAATGAACAATCAGCCTCTGAGATAACCTAAACTTGAAAGGACACAGCACTGGTGATGATATGTAGAGGTTAATCAGGACAGATGATCATTCATAATTAAGACAGGATGATCACTCTAGGTAGTCACAGACTGGGTTTTTCTAGTTGTTGTTTGTTGGTTTTTTTTTTTGGAGACAAATGTTTCAGCCTCCCTCAGTTCCCAAGTGAACAGCAGTGTCAGGGTGAAAATACAGATGGATCATCTGAAAGTAAGTGAAATGTTTCCTTTTAATCCCAAATAACAAAGGAAAAAAATAATGAAAAAAAATTAGGGAGGATGGGGAAGGAACATCCTTTAAAAACAAGGAAGGAGAGGGGGAAGAACAGATTAGTCATAAGTTCTGAGAAAATTAAATAGATTGTGACTGAATCAAAATTTCAAATTGACCTCACTGGAGATATTTTTCCTATTTAGAATTTCCACAACAAATATAATTACCCACTTCAAAGCACCAGGGCCTGATTCTGGACTCTGTGTGGCCAGACAAGCCTCACTCCAGGAGAGTCAGTAGAGTTAAACGAGTGTTTCTGAATGAGTCTTCTCTGCTTGAAGGGCCTGACCTAAGGCCCTGAGAGGTCAGTATGAGGTTCACATTCCCATTTACCTCTCACAAGATCTGACCTGGAAATGAGAATCTACCAGAAAGTAAGAACCTTCCTGCTCTACTCAGATTTAACATCCTGGCTGCTGAGGAGAAAAATAAGGCTCCGTTTCTACAAGGGCTGCCGTGTGGAAGCTTACTAGACAGCTTCCTAGAGCAGCAGCGTCCCATACACGATCGCTTTGCTCCACAAGGCCACAGATAAAAACAAAAGAGCTGTTCTGCAGCAAAACTGGTGCAAGATCCCCTTAGTCCCTCGTTTACAAACACGACACAGTCATCAGTCCTTGCTGAAGGTCTGATAACTATTGTCATAGTCTGTGGTGTAGGAGAAAAAAAAAAACTAAATCCAGACAGCCATCAAGCTGGCACTTACAGAATAGCTGTCTTGGTATGCTCACGGGGTGACAAGGAAAACAGGAGGAATCACTGAATTAGGAAGCCCACAACGAGATGTTTACAGTCACATCTCAGAGGGCTGGGGCACCTTTTGAGTAAATCAGCAAAAAACTGATTCTTGCTCTTCTGTTACGTGATACACAAGAACATATCTCTCACGTTTGTAAGGTGGGAAGCCAGGATAAATCTTCAGACCTGGTCCATGTTAAAGAATGTAATATTCTTCCAGTGCCAGAAAGTTATTTTAACAACCAAAGGTGAGATTTCCAGAAGAGCCTAGGTGATTTGGGGCCCAAATCCCATTGCAACTGAGTGGGATTAATATCTCACTCCCAGAAGTACAATTTTGAAAACCCTATCCCTGTTTCATTGTCAGTGGAAATACCAGACCCAGCAGAGGTTTTGGAGAGTATTTCCTCATTGGAAAAGAGAAAATTGGAAGCCTTGACAGAGTGGCCTTGCTGGCTTTTGTGTAGAGCCACAGAGTTAAATTTACTCCAGAGTTAAATCTGCTGGAACGATTGCTGCTTCATCTGTGCAAACACTTAGGTTACTGGATCTAATAAACATTTCTTCACTCTGGTGTGCTATAAAGTAAGTGGGTTCAGATGCCGGCTGACTAAAAGCTATGGAGGAAAGCCATTGCTTTTGGACTAAATGAAGTTTGCTTGTGTCTTCTCAAATCAGCATCTCCTTGGAGATTAACACCCTCACTATATGGCTTTTGGGTTTTGGTTGAGGGGATGTCTGTTGAGTGTAGTGTTCTGTTGTGGAGAGGAAAGCAAATGCCTTGTGGGTTGCAGATAACTGCAGCTGGGTATGTAACTAGACCCCTGAAAAGTGTCCAGCTCAGCATAATTTCAGTCCTCTGGGCTAGAGTTCACGAGGTTGCGGCAATGAGCTGCCACCCGTAACTGTGCAACTGTTAAGTTACCTTTGTAAATCACAAAGTATTGATTTGACTGAGAGTGAAAAAAACCTGTAAAGATACCTGCATTTACATATATTTAGCTCAGTACTGCTCTGAGTGATCAAGTCTGCCTGGTCCTATCTCTTACATAAGTGAATAACTCCAAGCAGGTGAGATCACACTTCCTCTGTGATATGTAGTGGTACGTAAGTGAGCTCACTGCCAAGTAATATCCAGTATAAAATATATCAGTGTCATTCCAGCTAAGTCTTTATTTATTATTGCATTGTATGATACAGTTACTGTCAAGTTTTCAATCTGCAAATAATGCATCGAACTGAGCTGCTAACACCTCATTCTTTCTTCTATTCCCTGCTTTCCTGTCTTCTGTCAGAAATAAAGATTTCAGACATAGGTAAGCCAACCAGTGGAGAATTCTTATGCCGCTCCCTGTCTTGTTGCATGTTGTTACACAGTGAGCCACAAGTGCCATTTCCAGATGATTCAATAGCAAATGAAGCTGGCGTGATTAAAACTGGCGTAGGCAATCAGTCATCAGAACTGGGAGCCATTAATCACAGAGCAGAGTCACGCAGACTTCTGCCTGAGCTGTTATAGCTGTAGACAGGGGAAGTACAGACATGAGAAGCAGGGCAACAAGAGGAGGAGGGTGGAAGGAAGACTGGGTGGGAATTAACTGTAAAATGGGGACAGCATCAGGATACGGGTCACTGGAATAGCTATGATGGAAAAATAATTCTCATATGGTGAAATGTCTTCTTTTTGACTTTTGGGGAGTGTAACAGGCATAATGAAGGGCCACCTAGGGAAGTAAGTTTTTCTCTTTGTCAGTCTGAGCTCTTCATAGAGAACCTTCGGATGTGAGACTCAGATAGAGGGTAGTACAACTCAGAACCTTAGCCAGGAAATACAATAAAAAAGACAAAGAGTAATGACAAGAAAACAAGATGAAAGAGAGACTTCTAAATTGGAGCTTTGTCACTAAGAATATTTGTCACTTGGGTTCACTGGAGTTTCAGTGGGTTTGATCCAATCAGTTGCATTCAGGAAGATGTCAACCTCCTGTCACTGTCTGTGTTTGCAAGGACTTCTCTGGCTCTGACAAGTTTCCCATCCTTCTCCCTGGCTGCTTTCTAAATTAGAAGCTTAGAGTGTGGAGTTGGGGTTTTTTTGTTATTGTTTGGTTTTCCTTTGCATTTGAGATTGGCGATTTTTCTTGCTACATGCTTTTTATTTTCTGTTTCTTTGACTTCATAGAGGGTGTGCAAAACCAGAAATGTTCATTTCATCTGCATGCGAAGAAATGCAATGGAGTAGAAATGCTTTTGTTTTTGTCTTATTGCCAGAACATTAATGAAGGGCTGAGCTTCCACGGTATAATGCCCTGGCCCAAAGTGTCTATTATCAGGGCTGGGAGGTTGGTACACAAGACCTCTGCACTGACTGTCTTCATCGGGCTGAGTTCCAGCCCCACAGCTCCTCTTTCATATCGTTTGAAGGCAATAGAAAAACTAATTTCTCTTTGGAACAGCCAGGTTGTATCCTTAATGCCCTAGAAATACACAGCCACTAAAGTGCACATGCTTTGACAGTGAAGGGCAGCAGCTGAATACCTGTTACTAGAAGAGTTTTTGATATATGAAGGCAATAACCGAGTGAAGATATACAGACTGGCCACAAATGCTGCAGATGCTACCAGAACCTTACAAAGTTGGCAGGGCTTCAGCCTTTAGGCAATTTCTGAAAACTAAGAAATGAAAGAAAACCAAGACGTGCCTGCTTCAGCACAATCCGAACTGCACCAGTGAGGGAGGAAGGAGGTGAGGAGCTCTAGATCAAATATTCCCATCTATGACTACATTAAGGGAGTCGTCCATGTGAGTTAGCATCTGTTCTGTGTCATTTGCCGTAATACTTTTTGTTAGGAAGCCTCTTTGTTCCCGAGCCACAGGGAAATGAGTGGGTGTAGTCTTACCTAAAGCTCCAGTGCTTCGAGCTCCAGAAGGTCCTAAGCTTGACACAACTGACAGGAAACACTTGCAAAGGGTGAGATCCACAGGACTGAACCTTAGTGGTTTGGAAAAGCTGAAATCCCTATGCAAAAGCTTCCTCACTTCAGGGAAAGGGATTCCTCCCTGCTATGTAGCCTGTGGTGAACTTGATCTCCAGAGGCTCTGGACCTGCCAGCTAAGAGGCTTGGCTGGAGCACAGCATAGGTAATCTGGGTCTAGCTTTGCAACACCCAAAGTGACTCTGTGTCTACGTGAGGGATGTTAGCTCAGCCAAAAAAGCATCACCAGATTGTGATGCCTCCCAAGTTTCCACCCATCTGTCATTCAGTGATAGATTAATAGGAACTTACGCCTATCTATCTCTGTATGGACCTGTCTTGATGGGCTTAGAGAAGCTAATGACTTTTTCCAAGCATGGCAATAATAATTTGCGGTTAATTATCATTATCTTTTCTCTGCAGAAACATGAAGGGTGGTGAGACATTTCTGTCTTACAAATATGCAAAAAAGTGGCCACACTTAAATACATTCTTCCTTTCTTGATTCCATTTGTTTCATTTGTCTCTCAGAGAAACAGATCTACAAGTAGTGGCAAAGAGAGGTATCTCAGAAAACTGCCCTAGGATTAGATCAAAAGTCCTTTGCAGTCCCTGGGTTGGCTTATGGCATTGCTGTGAAGTTTTATTATCCAGCCTGTGACACTAGAAGAGCTTTGGGCTTCGCACACAAACTGGAAACAGTAAAAGGCCAAGTGTAAATTCAGCTCACTGCACTGTGTGGCCTCCTTATGTATTAATCTATTGAATGTCACCCAGGGAAAGAAAGACCAGTACCTCACACAAGCTATAATAAAATCCTCTGTTTGTGAGCTGCAGGGTGCTTAGCATGGAGCCATGGAAACACAGCCCCGCCGAACAAAAAAACACTTGGCTGCAGGAATTTGGTAGTTTTTTAGTCACCAGCAAATGCATGTGGCCAGAAAGGCTCAGAGGGGAAGAGGGCAGCTAGCACAGAAAGTTTTACAGAGGTCGTTTCATGTCCTTAAACAGAGACATCAGATCCAAAGAAGCCCCAGGAGTTTATTCAGCTAACTTTCTGGTGGTGTGACTGCTCCTGTCTGTTGACCATACTGGGAGCCAGAGCCATACCGTTACCATTAACAGAAGCTGTCCTTTAGAGAAAGTGGTAAGATGCCCTTGCATTTGAGAAACTAAGATGCAGTTCATTTTGTAAAATAAATGTTGAAAATAACTCAGGCAATTCATACCCCAAAAGATGCTATTTCTCCCCACTGCCTGTAAAGAGAGCTAAGGCAGTCAGTTCAGCTGTAAGCATCCACCTTGTAGCCATCTAAAGCTTGGTGAGATGAATCCCCTGGCTTTGAACAGAAGCCAGTGACAAGGTGCAGTCTGCTGTGCTGCTGCATTATAGGTAACCTGCTGAAACCAGGGACCATCTGCCTTTTCTCATCTTTCTTCCTTAGCAACTGGCTTCCCACTCTGGAGCAGGAGAGTCCTTCCTCAGACTCCTCCAAAACATGGGCTCTGGGCCCAAGGGGATAATACCAACCTTTGCTTAAAGCCCGTGCATCTATTACAGTACTACAGAAGCAATCCACATGAGTCCCATCTATCTGCCTATTCACCCAACTTTTTAACACTTTCATTCCTCGTGCCTGCGTGTACGGAGTCATGTAAGGAGTCCTGTAAAGCATAAGCACTTTAAAACAAAGTTGAATATATATATATATTCAATATATATAATAATATATATGGTGCTGGCACTGTCCTGTTCAAATAATGAGAATGAAAAAAGGAAAGGGACAAGGCAGATGTATGGGGGAGCCTATATGCAACCCCAAACAACTGGGATCACTGTGAACTTGCAATATTTCCCTGTGCTCTCCCAGCCTATCCCAGTATCACAAGCGTACAAGGAGGCAATGTCACCTCCATTTCACTTTGTCCTGCAGAACTTCTGCTTATGAAACTGTCCTCATTCCCACTGACTACGCCGTCATGCCCACTAAGACCAACTAAAGTGTCTGTTCTTGGCTAGGGACCAGCCCACCCATCCCTGCAACTTTGGCTTCTTGCTTCAGGGACTTAAAATATCAATGCAGTGCTCAGGGTTTCTTCTAAAAAAAACCTTAATAGCAAAAGGAACGATCTGAATGGGAAATCAGTTCTTAACCCACAGCCCTTTTCTAGTGGTGGCAATGTCAGTATGGGGTATAAGTATTCTAAAACTACAAATACTGTAACTGATTAAGTCTTCTGCATAGTAAAAAGTCTTGACTTTTGCTTTGGTCCATTATCTAAGCAATGAGAGGATAAAAGGGGAAAAAAAAAAAAAAATCTCTGCTTTGCCCCAGGCAGATTTATTTCAGTTGTTGTTCGGTTCAGTCCAATTTACCACTTGGATTTGTCTATTGATTGTGGCTTTAAATAAAAAGCAAAGCCCCGGTGTTCCCAGCTCCAGTGCTCATGTATTATCACAGATGAAGGGAAGCAGTTTGGGAGCTTTTTTATTCCTAACGTGTGCTTATTTAACATCTCTCATCCCGAAGGATCTCAAAGTGTTAAACAAAAGCTCCAGTGTATAATGCTGTGCAATTCATGCAAGGGCAGAGAATGACACCTTCCCAATATGGTGTTGAAAATTGTTGGTGGAGGCCAGAAGGGTAAAATCCAGCTTGACCATTTTTCATAGTTTGTATTTTACCTTCCCTGTTCCAAAGCATCCCAAGTTAAATACTCCATTGCCCAAGCCAACCCAGGGGCCTGCCACCCACAAAAGCCCCGTGCGTGGAGCGGGGTGTAGGAGACCATGGTAAGCCATGCTTGCAAAAATAAAATGTCTAGCCAATAAAAATGAAATAGTACTTCTATCACTCACACAGAGCCATGCAGCAAGAAAGATAGTTTGTGTTGGGGGTGCCCATACCATTAATAGCATTAGATTTAGAAAGGTAACTGTATGTCTTAGGAATTTCACTATCCTCTCACCAGGTGAAATCCAGACCCAAGTGACAAAAGATTTTAAGTGACCCAACATTATTACCCTCCCTTGGGTAGTTTAACCAACATAAGTTTCTACCTCTACCCCTTCCAAAGGACATTTCCTAGTAAAGGGGTTTGTACCTCTGCAGCATCCAGCTATGCAGAGGATTAAAAGTTTAACCAGTCAGAGCTAATATTTTAATGATTGTGAACTTTGAACTCACCCCTACTTTTTTCAGCATCTGTATTCACGACCTCATTAATAAAACTAAACTTGGGTTACCAGCAGCTACTCCAAGTATTATATGACGGGTTTTTACTGAGTGTATTTGGGTGGGAAGTACCATTCAGCTTTTCTGCTGGATGCGTGTTTTGCTTTTAACTGGTTCTCTGATCCATAATTAAAAGTAACCAGCATTTCAGTGTCCATTCTACACAAGAGCTGGAATTAGAAAATAGTTTTAAGATCTCTGTCTTCCCAACAAGGTTGTAATCAATAATAAAATCCATCAGAGTGAGGATATGAAATCCAAAAAATAAATTACAGTGATAGTGCTGAGAGAGGGGAGCAGAAATCTCTAGTTCTGCTACCGGTTTTCTCCACCTTTGGGAACGACATTTGCCTTTGCCCATCTGCAAATGGCCTGCTGTAAGACTCAGTGAAAGCTATCTGTGCTTTCCAGGTGAAGATGCTAAAGAATTGCCAAGTGTCACTAGAAATGTCCTCCTCTTGTCCACCTCTCATGCAAAATAGAGATTATGAACACTCCAAAGCTGACTGACATTCAGCTGGGCTTTGTCAGGACAGTCAGCAGAAAATGCAAGGTCCTGATCAAAATGGATGATGGATTCCCACAGGGAACTTCTTCCACCAGGGTTGAAGCCACTTGCTTAGTGTGAGTGACATGCAGGTAAATGAAATAATACCCTACCAGCCTGCTGTCATTGGAAAGGAATACAGATGTAGACCGAACTGTCAGGCTGGAGCTGTCTTGAAGGTCAGAGCATTTTATTTAGCAAGAATCAGTGTCATTTGTGGAGATGAAATCTGCTCAGACTTTAATAGGATAAATCACAAGGGATATTCCAGAATAAATCAGAAGGGCTTTTTTTTTTTTTTTTCCCCCAAAAGTATTAAGTAATTTGAATGAAGAATCAACTTACAGCTTTCTAAAGCAGAGAGTAATTCAGTAGTTTTTATGTGTCTGAAGAAAGGGATGATTTCCCTAACATAAAAGTTGAAGGAGAGAGGAAATTTCTCATTATGAGGCACAGAGTCAACTGTGATCGACACTCAGGTTTCTAAGCAGCTTCTCCTGGAACAGTTCCACTAAGTGCAAAATCGTGAACTATGGCCTATATGTGTATTATGAATTCTTGGACCTGATAAATTTGGACAGCTTGAAGGTGTTCTGGAGAGAAGTAGAGACTTTTTTTCATACTTGTTCTAATTACTACTTAGCCTTTCTTAGAAGGAAGAAGACCTGTATTCAGGCGACAGGTGTTACAGTTTAATCTGTTGGATTCAGGATTAGAAGAGATGCAGCTCAATACACACTAGCAGTAAACACTTTATTTTTTTTTTAAAGTCAATAAGTTTAGTATCTAGATTAAACTATAGATGGAATCCTTGAAGGACAATTTTTTTAAACTCATCCAGTTGTTTTTTTCTGGCCAGTCCCTTTGAATGCTTTCCATAAAAGCGGATGCTAATTTATTAATTTCTTCAGTCTTTGGGCTCATTTAGTGGTGCAGTCATGGAGCTAAAAAACATTATCTTTCTGTCTGCTCACTCAGCCACCTTTACTTATTTTAAAGAAGCAGTGAGTGAATGGGATTTTTAACAGGGGACTGATGTTCAGGTTCCTCAGCCCTCCTCCTAGTTCATGTTTTCCTTAGGGCAAAACATGTCACTCCAAGGATCATTTTGTTTCTCTATGCATTAAGGTCCAGTTGAATTCAGTGGCAGGACTTCCCCTAATCTCCACGAGGACAGAACAGTACTCTAGAGTCTTTGCTGGAGTCAGCAATAGCACCAGATAAGCCTTGATGTAGTGATCTTGAAGAGTGTATCTTCAAGGGATTTATACTTGGGACTCTACTTTTGGATTTTGTATCGAGATCTTTCTTGGGAGGGCAGATATTTTTTTTATTTGTGCTTTGTTTTCTGCCCCTGGTGTACTATGCTTTCCCTTCACTTTCTGGCACTGCACTAACACCAGTTTCAGGACTGTGTCTGTAGCAAGTTAATTAAGCAAACTCAGGCCCTGGGACTCAGTCTGTAATAGTTCCTGGCATGATTTTGGCTCAGGCCAGCAAGTTCTTTCCTTTGGTGGCTGCTCTCCATGCCAGAGAGCACCCAGGCACAGCGAGTGGTAACAGATAGAGCTCAGGATCCTGTGCTGTAACACACCGTGTACTAACATTGTCAAATACAGCACTGCTTCACTTTCCCAGTCTGTCTGCCCTGTGCATTTTTATTCTCTACAGTGCTTGCATTGCCTGTTTGACTTAAGAAAACAAATCGTCCAAAAAAATAATAACGTCATACCCTTGTTTTTCAGCCACAGCCCAGCTCATAAGTATTACTTGACCACAGATCCAATCACCGGCTCCATCTACCTGTCCGACACCAACAGCCGACGTATCTATAAAATCAAGTCAACCACATCAGTGAAAGACATCGTGAAGAATTCAGAGGTCTTGGCTGGAACTGGGGATCAGTGCCTCCCATTCGATGATACCCGCTGCGGAGATGGAGGCAAAGGCACTGATGCTACCCTTACAAATCCCAGGGGTGAGACTGCTTCTTCTCCACAGGCTTTTTTAAAGGGGTCTTTTTGAAAGGGGCTTGTTTAGTCACGCCTGAGATTGGTCTCCTCTCCAATTCAGAAAATGCCTTGGATTTTGCAAGCCTAAGGGCACATCCTAAGGGCTTGCTTCTGGAAATAAGGGGGGGTGTCTCACCCTCAGCCAATTCTTCTTGTTGAGGTGACTGGGAGGAGTACCAGACCAGAGGGGTCTAGTGATGGGTACGTGTCCAAAGGGTAACAGAATAAATCCACCCATCAATTTTATACCCACTTAGCCACTACTCCTCCATACCAGATAACTTTGGTCCTTTCCAGCCTGGACTGGATTCATTTATGTTCACTTTACTGAGGCTTTCTTGGCATGAAAAAAATAAAAAGCTCTATAAGTATTGCTATATATAAAAAATAGCAACAAAACCAGCATACAGCCCAGAGATACATAAACTGAGGTTTATAGGTTATATATCACAGCATCCAGCTTAAATCCTATGGGAGGTGGGTACTAGTTTTGGTATGGGAATGGTCTCATTCAGTGTGACTTGACCTGGTTCCTCCCGATTAATTTACTTAAATGTGATCAAAGCAGTCAAATCAGAATAAAAGCATGACACAGCCTTCATGACTGTGAACTAAATTGTTCAAAACAGGTTTAGCCAAACATATGCAGTCCTGTGTGTAGCCAAGACTTCAGTCTGGCAGTCTCAAGGTAACAAGCTCTGCATATGGAGGATGTCGCTCCTCCCAGCTGTCCACAAAAAACCACACGGAGGGTATAAAGATGAGGTGGAAGATACTGTTGGTATACACAACTTCTGCAGTGTTTGTGAAGAGAGGCGAGAAGGAAGCTTATGCAGCAATGCTTCTAGAAATGTGACAATGCTAACATCACATTGTCAGTGTGAGTTTTCACTGTTAATCATTCTTGCCCAGTTGTTAAGTATGCAAGGAGTTATTTATAAGTTCATGGCTTCGTGCTGCAGGTTCCCTTTTTCCTTCACTCTGAGAGTGGTAGCTCCCTTCTTCCTCACCATGGCAGTTTCCAAGCCTTATCCCAACCTCCTTGCAAAACAACCCCTCAGCCAAACCTGGGGATCCTTTAACAAGTTATTTCACAAAGAGCAGGCAAGATGAAGACAGCTGAGCTGTTGTTTCTATTCCTGGCTAGACTTCTCAGGAAGTTATTTTTCTTGACATAGAGATGACATAATTGTTACTGAATCCAAGAAACCCAAACTGATTTAGTGACCTTTTGTGTCAGCTCTTGTGATTTTTTCTGTTATGTGCTGGCTAGTTGTTTCCTCGCAGGATGCAGAAAAATATACTTTGGGGGACCTGTTTTTTTTCCAGAAAAACACACTGAAAGCCAAACTGCCACCCTCATAATATTCAAAGGGCCCAGCATGGTTTCCAAGCACTCCAGAGTCCCATGAGGTGACCATTATATTGGGATAAAGTATTGCCAGAGGCATAGGTAGAGAAAGGGAACAGCTACCGGTGGTCAGGTTGCAGTGTAGAAATTGTCTCACTGAAATGAGTGGGCTGAGTGAAAAGAAAGTTAAGTGACTTGGGCAGAGAGATTTCAGGCAGTCCAGCAGATGAGTCATGAGATCAGGGAATCCAGAAATCTGTAATCCAATTTTCTGCACCACTTTGATGTTCAACCAGTGCAAAAAAAAAGCTCTCCACAACTTTTGTTGGACATCCATTCTCCCTTGTACAAGATAAGAGGAATATTATTCATTTCCCTACATGGGTGGATGTTGCAAGGTTTAGATGACTTATGTTTCTGCTTTGCTATGGGAAACAGACCTCTGGAGTTCAAAGCTTTCAGCACTGAAATCCTTCTTGTTGGCAATTCAAGCTCTCGGGAGGCTGTTCTTCCACCTCAATCATATAACGGCAAAATGCATGCATTCATTCCTCACAGCTCTGAAATTTCACAAAATAGAAGTAAATTGAGGATGAAAGAGGAAATGACATGAAACAAAATGGCAACAAGAAAATAATAATACAAAAAGCCCACACTGCCAGCAAAAAGTTTGTAAACAGTGTTCCCTGATCTGGTTCTAGCCTGAGTTTGCAAAGTCTGCTGAGACAATAGCTTTGGCAGGTGTGACTCATTTCCCATTCACCTCGATAAATGATTAACGGGGAAAACTCACACTGACAATGTAATGTCAGCATTGTTTATACCTTCACAGTGGTTCATCCTAGCAGAAAAATCCAGCAAATGCTCTTCCTTCATGTGACCGTATTTCATAATAGTTCAAGTAAAGATGATTTCTTACAGAAGTAACCGGTAGTCCTCAGGTTACCCTCTGCTTCCCTGTCTTGGCAGGGGAATAAACACTCATAAGTGTATGGTCAGAGGAAATTAGAAAACGATTCTGTAGCTATAGAGATATCAGCTGGCCGGGGAAGGACTTAGAAAGGTCAGTTCTTCGAGAATCACCATTCTTCATGGGGCTCTACTTTTTAAGGCCAAAGCTTTTTTGTTTTGTTTTGGGTGGTTTTTTTTTTTTTTTGACTGAAGGTAATTCCTTCATGCAAATCCTTTGTGTATTTTAAGGACCAATTTGCACTGTTCAAAAATTGTAAGGAAACAAGGTCTTGTCTCCACTTTCATGATGTTTTAATTAGCTGATATTTGCAGTTTACCGGAAAATACAGGGGAATACACTCCTGCCAGATGAAGAACAGCAGTTCATAAAGACTGGAGAGTCAGTCATGAGATGATAGCATATATTTTTGCATCTACCTTTAGCCTCTTGGACTAGTCAAGCATCTGCTCTAAGTAGATTTTTTGGCTCTCATTGGAAAGAAACTAGTACCCTGAAGGTGGCCAGTGCACATGTCCAAGGTAGGATGAACCATGTTCTGGGAGTGCTGATCTTCTCCCGGAGGTGATAGCCTGAAGGATGAAGTCCCCACCCCAGGTAACACCCTTCAGTATGGTTCTCCACTTCCTGAGCAGCAGCCTTTTCCCCACAGTTTTGATCACTTCTTCTAGTTCCTACCTCACCTCCCATGAATTCAGATGGGATAATTTCATAAAATCATAGAATCACAGAATGGTTTGGGTTGGAAGGGACCATCAAACATCATCCAGTTCCACCCCCCTGCCATGGGCAGGGCCACCTTCCACCAGCCCAGGTTGCCCAAAGCCCCGTCCAACCTGGCCTTGAACCCTTCCAGGGAGGGGGCAGCCACAGCTTCTCTGGGCAGCCTGTGCCAGGGCCTCACCACTGCTGTCACAAAAAAAAATACCTCCTTATATCCAATCTAAACCTACCCTCTTTCAGCTCAAAACCGTTATACCTTGTCCTGTTTCTCTGATGTACCTTCTGGATAAAGGTTCTTGTCTCTCTCTTGAAGGGGAGGGAACTCCCTTTAGATGATCAGCTTAGACAAGACATTAGGAGGGATAAAACCTACCCCAGGAATTTCACCCTTCCCCTGTCTTTGGCTTCTCTGATAAAGGTAGGCTGTACAAATACAGGACAGGTAGATCAACAGATGCAGAACTGGTGGCAATTGTTTGGTCAGGGTATTTATCATAGCTATTAGGAACCAGTCTGATGCTTCCAATTCATTTGCCACAGAGCACAGCAAAGCTTTCAGATGCTAATGAATTTCAATATATCCTCACAAATTAAAGTGTTACCACTTTCTAATTATCATCTGCTAATAATGATCCTCTTCTACAAGCAATCTAAAGAAAAATTAAAACTCCAGCTTGTCAGAGCATTTGTTTTCATCTGAGTACTCACCAGTGGTTCTCCTCGGGAAAATGTTGTGGCAGAGAAATTACCAAGGAGCCTGCAATTAAGAGAGATTGCAGTGACAAGTCTGACACAATAGGAAGAAGGTTTCGGAAGGGATGGGGTGGACGGGGGACAGGGGGGGCATCTCATTCATTTAGCACCACGAAAACAATGCAAAATGAAGTAATTAATTTGGGGACAGATTGCTTCCTTCACTGTGTCCTGCTGAATGTGTAAACAAAATCTCAGTTGTTCACTAAATGTTCATGAGTTCGACAGAATTAAAAGAAGAAACTCAACCCTCCACAATCTGTTAACACTTTTATTGTCAAATAATGTAAGGGCTGTTTCAGGGAAGACCAGAAGCTGACTGAATGAGTTGTCTTGTTTCTTACTGTGGGCAGAAAAGACACGTGGGGAGAATGGCAATGACGGAGTGGACTTTCCCTGCTAACACTCCACATTCTAGTCGTAGACATTCAGGGAACTTTCTGAAGAGGTTGCACCTGGATCTGTGCTTATATGCCACCACCAATTTGTCTAGAAACCTCCCTGAACACTTGTGGGATTTTTTTTCCAGACATTCTGTGCTAATAATTTCACAATTTATTTTTTTTTTTAGCCACATCATGGAAAAGTTTGGTGGTTTTGAAGTCAGATCATTGTTTTCTGTTCTCTCCGTGCCTTTTCTAATCATTCCTGTCTTCTAACCCCCTCCTTGACCACTGCCGAGCACAAAGCTGATCTCTGCAGAAAACCTTTCGCAGGAATTCTGAAATCTTTTTTCCTGTGAGCTATTTTACAGCTTGTCATTGCATATGGGTAGTTAGGCTTACTCCTTCCCCTGTGAATTCCTCTGTACTTATTGACATTGATTTTCATCTGCCATTTTATCACTCAGTCATTCAGCATCCAGCCAGACAAAAAAGCTCCAAATTTGGATTCCTTTAGCACCTACTTTTTTACTTAAAAGAGTCTTTTCCCTCCTTTTTTTTTTTTTTTATTTTTCCTAAGTAGAGCTACATGTGCAGTGCAATCACTTTTAGCAGTTCATCTTCTAGAACAAACCCACCGTGTCCCAGTAGCTAGTCGCAGTGTAATGTGGTGTCACCTCCTCACGCTACAAGGTCCTGACATTTCAAGCAAATGTCATCGCATCACAACTTTCTATCAGCAAAACTCACTGGCATGATGCGCGTGGTGCTACAAGCCCTTGTTTCTTACGGGATCTCCAACTATCCAAGAGGAGCCAGCGTGATTTCATAATGTATGTATTTCATATCTCAGAGCTTAAAGTTTGGATCTGCAGCGCTACCTGGGTAGTGGCAGCAGATGTTTTCTCTCACTAACTGTGAGATTGAACTTCGAGCTGTATGCTGAAAATCTTTAATTCCCTTATGTTCCTATGGAAACATGAGAGGAGCCTTCTGCCAAAGCAAGCCAGGGCCTTTGGCTTTACATGCATAACATGTGAATTACCCATCTCTGTGCCCATTTGGAGGAGCCAGCTCCCAGCACTGGAAGTGTGCCATTATCAGAAAGGAAATACAGAAAGGTCCAATCTAACCTCTACAATCTGCTGCAAGAAACCGTGAGATGCTTCTTTCCCTCTCTGCAGAATTCATCCATCCAAAGACACTTGTCTGTAGGAGAGAAGGGCTCCTCTCCATAATTAGATTTGATTCTAAGAAAATCAACTAAAGTCAGGAAGGGATTGGAGCAGTTGCCGTGTGAGGAGCATGTGCAAATGGGAATTTAGGGCTTTGACAGACTGAAAACTCTGTTACCCTGCAGAACATCATAGGAAATGCAAGGCAATTGAGATTGCTTAGCCTCCGTGAAAGAGGGATAAGCAGAAAAGTGCTCTGTGATAAGAACACATGCACATGCCATTGCCCTGGAGCAGCATGATAAGTGGTAACTTTGCCATCCCACTTTAACTTACTCGGGTGTGCAAGCTTTTTGTCTAAGCTGGAATGCAAAATAAAGTTGTGCTCTATCAGCTGATCAGAACTGGCTTGAGAGCCAAAGTACGTACAGGTTATTATTACTGTAACTGGTTAATCAGACCAGCCATCAGACCTCAGCATTGAACACCGTGAGCGACTGTCAGCACACACTGCTGATAAGTCCAATCCAATACATATGGAACTAGCTAAGAGAGAAAATTCTGCCTCATTTAAAATCACATTATCCAGCCTGCCACCCTTCACTGGCTTTTGGCCTGTCACACAGAGTAATGGACAGGTGCCCTGAAAAATACTCATTGTGAACCTAGGAATGGATAAGAGCATCTTGTGTTTGACAAAAGCCAATTAAGATCAACTAAACGTTCTATCATGCCTCTTCCAAAAAAGCACATCTACTGTATTGCATAAAGGGCTTAAAGACAACCTGTTTGTCAAGCAAACGCCAACAAATATTTCAGAACTTGCCATTCGGTGGGCAAAATAATTAGAGGAGCGGTAACCTTCAACGGCAGATGCCAGTGACAGGTGACATGTGCCAGTACCCTGGGGCACTCATTGAACAGGGCACCGAATGGGGCACAATGCTGGCAGATCTCACAGCAGGTAGAGACAGCTTCCCGAGAGCCACGGGTGCCACTGAGATATCGATGCTTATACTGCCAGATCCTTCTGCAAGCTTTTGAGAAAGTGCTAAGGCACAACTGGTGTGTTTATATTGTAGAGCGAGGATGAATGGCATTAGGATATGCAACAGGTACCTGCTGCTCCTCTTGGAGGCTCTTCTTTCAAGATCCTGCAAAGATCAGTCCTATCTTGGCATGAATTAAACACAGGGATTGGAATGTAGGACTAGAAGCAATCTTTTGGGTCATTTATTCCTGTCATCCATTATCTCAGCAATCCTGTCATATAATCCCCTCCAAAATTAATGAACTTCATCTTAAAAGCAGCAAGTCATTTTTTTTTCCTTACTCCCCTAGAGGCTATTCTGAAACCTCACAGCTCTGATGGTCAAATACCCAAACCAGGTCAAAATTATGCCCTTCAGACAAGGAGATGCTGCAAAGAATTAAGGAAAATGCTGTTTTCACCTCCCAGAAAAAATACACAGTTCCCATTCAACTCAGTGATCTGAGACATCAGTTCCCTGACTCATAACTGACTTCAGATCAACAGGTTGCAACCATGTCTGCATCCCTTCCTTTACCTCAGCTGAACAGAGTTTGTTCTTTCTCTTCAACAATGACTTAGTCCTTATCCCTTTCTTGCCATTCCTTCCAGGCTAGATTATCTTCTGTGGAGTTCAGTATGACCAAATAGGATACGTTTTTCCACGTATCGTCCACCTTTGTGGCTTCCAACCCATGCAACAGTTAGAGCGTTGGCTGAAGGCCACGTTTCTAATTGCCAAAGCAACCAGGGGATTAGTCCCTGCCATGAGAAAGTCTAAAATTTTTGATCTGAGAACTTCTGCATCTGTACTTCACAGCATAGCTCACAGTGGATGAAGACTGAGGGTAAATGTTTCAAACAAGGGGATCTGGCTGTAAAACAGCATTTTGGAGAAACACGAGATCTGATTGCTTCTCAGAAACATTCTCAAAGCTTCCTATCTGAAACAGATTTTCCATCATTTCTGTCACCATGATGACAGCCAAAAAAACACGATAGTGAGGATTCATCTCACCGACTTTATCTGTCTACAGTGCAAATGTTTCCTTTGGAGATATTTTCTGTAGTCACCTATAGTCGATGGGGAGGAAAAGGTGTTTCTAGAAGGATTCATATAATCTCTTACAGTATCTGCTTTAGGGTGATATGATCACATCCTCAAAGTAGGTATTTCTCTCAACTGATTGGAAAAGCTCCAGATACTTGCTTGGATGCACAATGCAGGTTTCTGCTTTTTGCCAAGTGATTGCTACCCTGCTAGCAAAAGAAACCGAACAAGAAGATCGTGATATTCATATATTCATATATTCCAAGCCGAATTTTCACTTGCATAAAAAAAGGTATTACAGGCTTCCACATTCTTTTACTGTTTCTTTACATTCTTATAGTGTCTTTAAGACACTCAAATATTATGCTGAACGGCATTCTGCCACTGTAGGGTAGATGAGATGGATGACTCTATTAGTATCTGTGGAGTTATTTTTAATTTATACTAGCATAAAAGAGAGGTGAATGGGGCCCTTAACTTCTTCTTCCTGCCTTAGTCATGGACTTTCTCTGTGACCTTGTGAAAATTGCTTTATCTGTTATTTTCCCGATACGTAAAATTAGGATGATCACACTCACAGTCTGCTATGAGGTCTAATTAGTAAGTGTAAAGTACCATGAAATCCTCTGATGGAAGATGCAGAGTACAGCTAACTTGGGATAAAGAGGATTAAAGGAGGTTCTGCTAACATAACAAATACTTGAGAAATGATGCTTAGGGGGAAGTAAAATGGCACACATCTGCAGGTGAGGAAACGAGAATCAGCAGTCTGTAACTGTTGTCGGCAGACCTCAAATCAACTGACAGGAGTATGTCTACAAAGGAGGTTTGGATGATGAAATAAATCAACTGGCAGAGTTCAGAAACAGGTGAAATACTCTAGGTTAGTAGGATTATCCTAGGAAAAGCCCTTCCACATTTATCCACCTGGAATTTGATTGTTCTGGTGGATCTTTTGCAGCCCTTTTCATCAACGTTTCTGAAAGATTCATCAGTGTAACATTTTCATGTGCATGGTTTCACGTTCATACCATGAGCAATAACGCCGTGTTGCTGAACATGCAAGACGTGTTTTTAGAAAACCTTTCCCTTTCAGCAGTCCACTGAATGCCATGCCCTTTTCCAGAAGCAAACAGGAGTTTCTAAATTGCATCATGTGTGTGGTGGGTTGACCCTAGCTGGATGTCAGGTGCCCACCAAAGCCACTCTTATCACTCCCCTCCTCAGCTGGACAGGGGAGAGAAAATGTAACAAAAGGCTTATGGGTCGAGATACGGACAGGGCGATCCCTCACTAATTACCATCACAGGCAAAACAGGCTGGACTTGGGGGGAAAAAAAAATGTATTGTCAATCAAATCAGAGTACGATAATGAAAAATAAAAGCAAATCTTTAAAACCACCTTTCCCCCACCCCTTCTTCTTGGGCTTAACTCTACTCCCAATTTTCTCTACCTTCTTCCTGCCAGCAGCGCAGGGGGGTGGGAATGGGGGCTGTGGTCAGTTCATCACACGTCGTCTCTGACGCTCCTTCCTCCTCAGGGGAGGAATCCTCACGCTCTTCCCCTGCTCCAGCGTGGGGTCCCTCCCACAGGAGACAGTCCTCCATGAACTTCTCCCACGTGAGTCCTTCCCAGGGGCTGCAGCTCTCCATGAACTGCCCCAGCGTGGGCTCCCCACGGGGTCACAGCCTCCTTCGGGTATCCCCCTGCTGCAGCGTGGGCTCCTCCCCGGGCTGCAGGTGGGTCTCTGCTCCCCCGTGGAGCTCCATGGGTGCCGGGCACAGCTGCCTCCCCATGGGCTGCCCCACGGGCTGCAGGGGAACCTCTGCTCTGGGCCTGGAGCACCTCCTGCCCCTCCTCCTGCACTGACTGGGGGGCTGCAGGGTTGTTCCTCTCACATATTCTCACTCCTCTCTGGCTGAAGTTGCTGGGGTATTTTTTCCCCCCTTGTTAAATACATTATCCCAGAGGCACTACCACCGTCACTGATGGTCTCAGCCTTGGCCAGTGGTGGGTCCATCTTGGAGCTGGCTGACATTGGCTCTGTTGGACATGGGGGAAGCTTCTGTCAGCTTCTCACAGGAGCCACCCCTGTAGCCTCCCTGCTACCAAAATCTTGCCTTACAAACCCAATAAAATATGCCAGTTGGAAGTGCTGTCGGTGGAATGGTGCCAGGTCAAAGCTCCTGATAACCAGGACTCCAACATACCCAACTCTCATACTGCCCTTTCTGAATGCCATAAAATATATTGCTCCCAACGAAACCAGCACTCTTACTCTTTCATGAGTGTCAAGCCAGAGACTGTCTTCTATTCATCTCATAACTGTCAGTTTGCCATTATTTTCTGACTGTCTTTCTTTTTTCCTCCTCAGGCATCACCGTGGACAAGTTTGGGCTGATTTACTTCGTAGATGGGACTATGATCAGGCGGATTGATCAGAATGGAATCATCTCAACGGTGTTGGGTTCCAATGACTTGACATCTGCTCGCCCTCTCAGCTGTGATTCTGTCATGGACATTTCTCAGGTAAGACAATGTTTTGGTTGGGCTTTTATAGAATAAAAGCCTATGCCTTCAGCCTATCTGCATGTCTATGTGCCCCCCCAGGTTTGACAAAGAGGGAAGGGCTCAAGGAAAATTACATTTCTATTATTTTGTGGTATGAAAATGACTGGGTCAAAAAGAAAGACCCTGTAAAGACTGAAGGAAGGACCTAACTGACCTAATTCAGAGATCTGTGGGGAGAGAGATTTTAAAGATGTCCCAACCACAGAAGAGACTTCTTTTGGAACTCTCAGTCAGCTGGGAGACACAGATTCGTAGGAAGCCAGGTTTCATTAGGCTCATTTCTCTAGAAACTAGTTGCTTTAAACTAAAAAGACCAGGCAGCCTTCCTCATTTTAGTAAGGCTATATGCCATGCTCTGTTATAACAACTTAGCTAACCATGGGTTAGCTTCCCCCATGCTTCCCCCATCCTAATTTGGCCCAGTGCAGTTTTAGACCTGAATCAAATTAACATCTAGGAAATACTGATTGGAGGCTGTGGTGCCAAAATTAGCAACAGCAGGAAAACAAGAATGTTGAATTGCATCAGATTGCAAATTGGTTGCAGCTACCATCATGCTGGGCTTTTAAGTCCGGCTGCCTAAAGGTGGAGAAAAAAAAAAAAAAAAAAAGCAAAAAAAGTGGGGAAGAAAAAAAAATCTCAGTTTGATGATTGCCTTACTTCTGGATGTGCAGAAGAAAAATCTGTTACAGCTCAGCACTCAATTTTGTGGGGCACTGGCCAACCTGTCAAATTGTGCCAGTTTAGAGATAGTGTCCTTTGAAACCTTTGTGCCACTTGTTGTTTGCCTGGCTACGGGAATGTTGCCCTCTCCTATGAAAATATAGATCATAGCTGGAGGGCTAAGTACTGTTATTCAGCCACAATAGATGTCAATGGGGTTTCCTTTTTGTAACTACCTAGATAATTTCCGTGCTCCCATATGGAATCTGTTCTTCTTGTTTTTCACTCTAATTTGAAAAGATCATTCTTGCTTCTTTGCAACTGGTTCCCACTGTCTTCAATTTATGAACAAGCTGAAATTATGAGTTTAAAAGCTCTCATGCCTTCTATAGAAGCAAATTTTGCTGGTTAAAGGCCATCTTGTAGTATGTTTCTCATCTTACAGGCTGTTTTTTCTTTATCTGAATTTCAGAGGCAGTTACCACAAGACCATTGTGGATTCAGGCTTTAAAAATCATTTTCTCACAGGTTATGTGGCTTGTATGTAGACTGATGTCATAATTAAACACTTCTGAGATGAGCTAAAATGTATCAGTTGAAGACTCTTTCTTTCCCTTCATAAAATGACAGGAGCCATTTTTAGATTAACCTGTAATGTGATGGACAGATTACCCAGTACTGGTTTGGACAGAAACACCAAAGACAGCTTTAATTTAAAACACACACACACACACACACACACTAAAACACACACACACACACACACACACACACACACACACACACGCCAAATAAAAAACCCCAAACAAACAAAAAAAAACACAACAAAAAAATCCCAAACCAAGCAAAGAAAACCCACCTTGGGAAGTAGCTTTTCATCATTTACAGTGGCTAGAAGGGTCTTTTCTGTCAGGTCCCTGAGGCTCCCTGGGACATGAGGACATGAAATATTCAGCTGCCAGTGTTGACAAGGAATGCTTTTTAAGAAATTGAAAATTCCCTTGTCAGTTCAGAATAAACTCCGCTCTTGATGCTAACTCAAGGCTGCAGAGCTTAAAGACCACTGGAAGGGATGGAGGCATGCATTATTAAAGAGGAAACCACAGGCTATAATGTTTTACTACAGGAAGGGTTAAAATAGGCCAGGAGCTGAGAAAAGGAAGGAGATTTTGCAAAAAGAGACAGAACCAGAGTAGACAGAGCTCAGCACACTGCTTAGCCATGAAAATGAGCTTCACAAGCCCAGCCATTAGAAGGCACAATGAACTAAATATATTGCATCTGATTCTCTTTAAAAGAAAGGAAGGGAAAAAAAAAAAAAAAAAAAAAAAAAAAAAAGGAAAGGAAAGGAAAAAGGATTTAAACATGAATAGAAGCACCAAAAGTAAAGCAGGGCTGTGGCAGAGACATTCAACTACAGGCTTTAGAATAGGAATCCCCTGTGTGCTTCTAGTTCTTACCTGGTCTCTTCTTGTTCTTGGTTTTAAGTAAAATCACAATGAGAGATTGTTTGCTGGACTTGAGCCAGCTGACATCTACACCTTCTCCTTCCAGTAAGGTTGCCACTTTACAGGTGCAAAATACCACCCCAAACCTGGTCACCTCAAATGGACGAGAAGAAGCAGCAACTGAGATGGGTGATGGGAGAGGAAGGTTTGAAACAAAGAAATGGGGAGATCCTGGAACTGCACAGCCTTGAGCGTGCCCAGATCCCAGAGCTCTGCATGACAGCACATCGTGCTGTTGGGTACAGAGAAAAAACACACGGGTGCAGGGAGGATGGCACAAAGCATCCAGCTTCTCAGTTAACCACGAGATATCAAGTCCATCTGCTCTGACCTAGAGTTGCTTGGCTGACTGAAAGGGAAACATACAACTATAGCTATTCTTTCTAACAAGCTGAAAATCTATTTAAAAACCTGGCTGGAGGTGCCCAAGAGCATTTTTCACAGTTGTCCGTTTCCAATCATGCTTTACACCTCTACTATGGGGAGGATGCACCATTTGGAAAACATTTAAGCATTAATTGGTTCCCATCAGCAAAATGTTGACTTTTTATTTTCCCTACATAAACCTGAAGTGAAATAATTTTTAAAAACGCACACCTGACAACTCTTAATAAAATTAAAAAAAAATATATTTAGCAAATATTTCTTAGATTTGGCAGCTAAAAGAAACTTGAAAGGACAATGTATTGCAGAAGATAGACCTTCTAGTGCTCGCTCACTTGTGGTGTTACCAGTCACTTTTTCAGTTTATTTGTGCATATGGATTATGAGTGTAGAACTGTGACGTGTCACTATGACCTGAACCCATTCTTCCATTATGCTTAAAAAAAAAAAAAAAAAAAAAAAAAAAAAAAAAAAAAAAGTGAAAACCACTCTAAAGACATGAGTATTTTATTCCACAGATTTAAATTGCCTGAATTTCTTGTGAATTGCTATTCTGCATTTTTGCAGCATCGGGCAGAAAATTGGTGGATATAGCTTAGACATACACACATGATGACACAGCTGCCAGTTTTGTGTCTATCCCTCCTTGTCATTTACCCAGAGGAGCTCAGCCACTTGTCTGGAAAATCCTTTACTAAAAGGATCATTGTTTGACTGGTTTCATTGCACTTCACACAACAAAGTTCTCAGTCCCAGGTCTCTGCTATCAGGTCCAGGCTCCATCAATTCAGAAAGTATAGGATTATTTGGTAAGGGGAATCTCTGCATCTTCTTGTTTACTCCTGTATTAGGAGTAAACATTTACCCTGGGCACTGATGCCCCTTCCCACAGCCCCTGACACCTCACACCACAGCAGAGAAGCAGAGAGAAGCCGTGGTCTAGAGCGAGAGCTGAGGAGGTTCTGCCTCTGCCCATCACCCTGCTCCCTGTGCAGAGTGTGGGTGTTCACATGTGTCTGCTTCATGTGACCAGCAGCTAAGCCCCCTCACTCACACCAGGGTTGTGTCCTCTATGGTCACCATACCAAGCAGTCATACTTAGTTGTGTTTCTTTTACCCTTTCTCCCGTTAATCCATGTTGAAACACCCTCACTGCAATTGATTTGTACCAATCACACAATGAAAAAAAGGTTTTGCTGTAATAATTTCCTTGTGTTGTTTTACCATTAAGGTTCGTCTAGAATGGCCCACAGATCTGGCAGTCAATCCGATGGATAATTCACTCTACGTCCTCGACAATAACGTTGTGTTGCAGATATCTGAGAACCACCAAGTGCGCATCGTGGCGGGGAGGCCCATGCATTGCCAGGTGCCGGGCATGGATCACTTTCTCCTTAGCAAGGTGGCAATCCACGCCACGCTGGAGTCTGCTACCGCCCTGGCCGTCTCACATAATGGGGTCCTGTACATTGCTGAGACTGATGAGAAAAAGATCAACCGCATCAGGCAGGTCACCACCAATGGAGAGATTTCTCTCGTTGCCGGGGCACCAAGCAGCTGTGACTGCAAGAACGATGCTAACTGTGACTGCTTCTCAGGGGATGATGGCTATGCCAAGGATGCCAAACTCAATGCGCCGTCCTCCCTTGCCGTGTGTGCAGATGGGGAGCTGTATGTTGCTGATCTTGGAAATATCCGAATCCGCTTTATTCGGAAAAACAAACCATTCCTCAACACACAAAATCTATATGAATTATCCTCACCCATAGACCAGGAACTCTACTTGTTTGACACCAGTGGTAAACACCTTTATACTCAGAGCCTTACCACTGGTGATTATCTTTACAATTTTACTTATTCCGGAGATGGAGATATAACCCTGATCACTGACAATAATGGCAACTTAGTCAATATCCGAAGAGATTCCACAGGGATGCCCCTCTGGCTGGTGGTGCCTGATGGCCAAGTCTACTGGGTGACAATTGGTACCAACAGCGCACTCAAGAGTGTAACAACACAGGGGCATGAAGTGGCCATGATGACATACCACGGCAACTCCGGTCTCCTTGCCACTAAAAGCAATGAAAATGGTTGGACAACGTTTTATGAGTAAGTACATTATGAATATTGTGCTGCTGATTTCATTCTGTGTTCTCTGAACCATGCAAGGTTGACCGAATTTAATTCCCTGGACAGAACTATTAACCAAACAAAATGGCCAGAACAGAGAATATTATATCTCACAGAAACACCAAATACTGGAATTAAGTGCATTAGAGTTTCAATAAACTCCCTCTACCAAGTCAAGAGTCAGACTGAGTTTCTGCTGAATTTTTCTAAATCAGCTAAGTAATTTGGACACCTGGTTCTCCTTAACTGTAGTGGGGACTGGGGATTTAGGTTGCATGTCAGAGAATTTTTCTTGGCTTTGAAAGCCTTGAAAGTGTGAAAGTTCCATCAGATCCTCTTTTTCGCAGCTTTTCACCTACTTCCTCTGCTGCAGTGTCTTTTTTGAGCTTGTTTGAAATGGCTGATGTAGAATGACAACTGACAATGACTAATGACAGCTTGCTTAGAAAACAATTCTGTAATTAATCGACTGCTTGGGTTCTATTGTTGTAATTGGCCTCACTAAGCAGTAAAAATTGTCTCAAGACTGTTAAAGGCAAGCCCAGAAAAAATTTTGAGCGGGGAAAAGACAGGATGCATTGAAAAACCCAGAGATGGCAGTGACTTGAAGATTTGTACTTCTTTTTTGTATTACTGTTAGCAATTCCCTGCTTATAAATACCGTGAGGACAGCACACTTCTGATATCAAATAGAAAAAAGATAGTAACTGAATGAAGGACATCTAGAAGGATGGCCTGCAAATTCATCCCTCTGTTGAGAACCTTTTCCCCTCCCTCTTCCTCTAGTTTTATTTTTATTTTTCAAGTCTAGCCTCTTTGAAATGCTCCTTTTAGCACATAATTTCCCATATGGTTTGAATGGTTACGTGGAATTGTTCAGCTACCATAATAATAGACCCATTGTAAGAGTCCAAAAAAAAAAAAAAAAAAAAAAAGAGAGAGAGAGAGACTCAGGAAAGGAAAGCTGGCTAAACCCACATATTCGTGTGTTAGACATGCAGTTGCTTTGGTTCTTTCTTTAAAATGTTCCAGGCCCAGTTTCAAATTTCTTTGCTTAATACTCGCTATTACAGCTCCTGCCTTGAAAAGAACTGATGGAAACTCTGTGATGAATCTTTTGAAAGGTTATTTGCATTCCATCAATGTTCTGCTTGCAATTACTGTAGCAATATTCCACAGTGAATCAAAGTTAATGCCCTTCCATCTCTTACATTGAATTTGCTTGAGGGAGGCTTTAGGGAGGAAAGATAGGGTGCTTTTCTCTATAGGAGTGGAAGCCCGCTATATTGTCAGGACCATTGTGCTAAATCAAGGAGGTATTTTCTTTTTTGCAAAGAACCCGATAGTTCCTGTGCTTGAAAACAGATGTAGCCCTGGACAGTGAAGCAAACTAAACATTACAGCTAATAATGGTCAGATTTATACCTCAAACATAATCTTTTATTTAAAAGTGTGACTGAAAATATAAAGAAGATAAAATGAGACAGAAACTAAAATCCAACTTACTCTCTGGATATATTTATAACAGTGATCCATTATTTCTTGCTATCCAACAAAATAGAGCATTTGTGAAAGTCATAATTCTGGTCCTTTTATGCACTTCAGAAGAGTCATAAGAAAGCTTTTTAGAGCTAAATGGAAGACAGTATTCTCCAGTGGTTAGACTATGGAAACCTTGACTAGAGCAAGTCAGCACTATATGATAGTACAGCATCACTGAAAATAGAATTGGGAATGTGTCTTTAGAGATATCTCATCCAAACCTGTGATCAGCTATCTCTATTTAACTGTTCCTGACAGATTCTGATGCAGCTTTATAGAACTACAGGGTAAAAGTCTATATCTGAATTAGTTACCTCAGCCTCCCTTTATAGGCAATGGAGAGAAACAGGCACTTTCAAGGTGAGTTTCTTATGAGTTATGTCAGGTATCTGCTTTAGGATGAGATGAGCCATATTCTGAAAGTTTCCCTCTGTAAAGGTAGTCCAGAATGATTAGCTCAGATACAGATGTTTACACTGCAGATGTCTACAATTTGGTCAGATGGATCCTATCAAAGTCATCTAAGTTATTCATAAATATTGCTAGTGATAACAGTGTATTTACCTATCTTCTTATTGCTAGAAAGCTTTTTTATATGCTCAGCCTAAATCTTCCTTGCTTGGAGACTGTCACACTTCATCCCTATCCTATCCTATCCTATCCTATCCTATCCTATCCTATCCTATCCTATCCTATCCTATCCTATCCTATCCTATCCTATCCTATCCTATCCTATCCTATCCAATCCTATCCTTCCCTACCCTGTCCACTAGGGACTTGGGAAGCAGATCATCTGCTCTTCTTCCAAGCTGTGAAAAGTACAGATCGAACAGCTCAAGAACTTGCTCTGTGATAGCTCTCATAAGAAAATCAGCAATAGGGAATCATCCAATGGGGCTGGTTTGGGTGAATTGGCAGAGATTGATTCTACTAGGGTTGGCATGCATAATCTGGGAGAAAATATAAAATCAGAAGTGTTAAAATGAGGTTCGAAAATAATGGTGAGATGATACTTGGATTGCTTGATAAAGTAGGTTTTGTTTAAATGAGATACATTCTTACACAGTCTAAAGAACTGGGCTGAGCATTGACTCTCGGAGGTTGTAATGAACAAAGCATCAAGGGTGATCCTCAGCATAATTCCATGGCAAATCTGTCAAACTTGTCGCCTGGATGGACAAACAAAATGAATATACTTACTCATCCCACTCTACTTGTAGTGTGTAGTAGGAAGCTGATTTTATCCCGGTACAGCATTGATGAGACTAACCCTGTCAGTTCTGATGTTTGCAGTTTAAGAAGGATAGTGAAAATTGAAGGCTGTGCAGAAAAACACTAGAACAATTTATCTGTGGGGAGAAGGTGCTTTATGCTGGATAACTGAGGAGACTTGATCTATTTATCTTAACATGAAGAAGACTGGGAAGTGTCTAGATCATGGCATGTCAGCACAAAACTCTTAATTTAGCAGAGAAGGGCTTGAGAAGGGTAAGGGGCTGGAATGCAAAGCTAGACACAGTCAAGTTGACAGGAAGGCATGATTTTTTTTTTTAAGGCTGAGATTACCTAACTGGTAGAGAGACCAACCATGAGAAGCAGTATATTCTCCATTACTTGGTATCTTAGATCATGACTCTGGCTGCCTTTCTTAAGATATATTCTCAGCAGACAGATCTGTATGAGTCAAACACAAACTGCAGGGATGAGTGCAGGCATGGCAGGATGAAATCCGAGTTCTTTGATAGCCAGGAAGCCAAAAAAGATGGTTTAAACCAAATCAGCATTCGGTAGCTTCAGGTTATTGGTTTCTGTATCAGAACATCAGGAAATTTACGTTGTGGAAGTTTAAGTGATTTTAGATCAACCCTGCGATCATGAGAAGCTGGCAGGTGCTCTGAGTCGTTTTCAGTCCTGGTTGAGGGGCAAGGTAAAGCTCTTATTTCTCTTTTGCTTGTGGCCAAGGAAGTAAAGACATCAAATCTGACTCTGAGGAAAAGCTTCATGTTTCTCACAGCACATAATAGTTGTTTATGGGCTAGGCCAGGCTGGACACCACTGTTTAAAAAGTTAAGACTAAACATAAATTCAGCTGGCAAGTTTACACTGCACCAGTGGCCCCATGAAGATTAACCTTTACCTGACTGTCTGCAGAGGCCCATAAACCAGGCACCCAACATAAAAAAGCACTGGTGCTACAAGAGTGGCAGCACTACATGTGTGCATGTCCAGCATCCCTGGTTCTCCTTCAGTTGTTGCTCTTCCTGGGGCATTTCTCAGCCTTTATCAAAAGGCTGCAAGGAGCTGTGACACGTGGGCGCCTTGATGCGACTCTGGAGAGGAGAGGAGGAGGTGGGCTACGTTGACGCAGTACTGGGGGTCTGTCTCCAGAGCACACCAGGGAATGCAGGTCCTCCCACGCCTCGGGCTGGGCTGGCACGTTGGTTCTTCATTTCTGACGGGAAGGAGACAGGTGCTGTCTTCAGGCGGTGGCAGACTTGCTCACAGCACTTACAGCTCTTTCTTTCACACATCCTACACCAAAGCCTGCTGTAACAATCCTACTTTATTGGGTTTAGCGCTGAGCAAGGTTCAGTATATAATGGTGTGCAGTTGCCTTTTCCTTTGAGAGTGAAACTTAGCTCCCTGCAGTAATTAGCCTGTTCCCAAAGGCCTATCTGGGACTTCTTTGAGGGTTTTAGCATTACGTAGACTTTCTCTGCCTCTGCAGAGGGCTTGACATTCACTGTCAATTAATGCAATTCAGCTCAGCTTGTCCAGTAACTGGATTAAAGACTTACTTGCCTTTCCGTTGAACCTGTGACAGTGGTAATCAGCAGCAAAGGAAGTTGATCTGGAAACTCTGCCAGGGGAACGGCTTCTTCTTGTTCAACTCCTTAAGTCCAAGACAAAGGATGCTGTGTAACTACTTGCTTCTTTGTTGTTGCTTCTTTTTTCACTTGACCTGAAAAAATTGCTACCAGCCTTTACAAAGTTTCTTAGCACTTGCTGTTTATCTGCTTCAGAATCCGGAAATTCTCATTAATGTTATTTGTTTAAATCAAGAATACAGCAATTATCTTGATTAGCTCATTGAGATGGTATCACTGTACATTAATTCAATTTCCCCCTGAGCCAAAGTCAAACCTTCTACGCATTATTTAGCCCAGATGACGCTCTTTCGCTTAGGTCCTTTGTGTGCCCAATTAGTTTCAAAGGTCACCTCCTCCCATACGGAATGAAATACTTACACATGACTGCAGCCAAGCCCAGAAACTCAAAACCTTTTCATGGACTACCCAAGAAGTGGCTCACAGCTTCCTGGAGGGCAAAGGGTCTCGTGGAGCCAGATCTTCAGATGGGCAGTAAGGGGAGCTTTGACCCATAACGTAGGATACTGTTTCACAGAGAACCAAACCCTGCCAAACCTCACACACTGT